TGACACATGCACTCCATGCTAGGACCACAGATCTTGCGATTTTTCTCTGTGGCTGGAGTTCTGAGTCCAGTGATCCAATTAGGGGGTCTCCAAAGAAACCCTGCCAGAAGTGATCCCAACCTGACTCCTGTGTGTGCCAGTCAGTGGTGGGGGGAGGTCCAGCTCAGTCCATCACCCACATCGGCCGACACACGCTGGTGGTTGCAATCACCTAGTTCTGTCTCCATATCCTATACTGCAGCAGGGAGTAACATTTATTCACTGTACTTGTTGGTGAAGCATCATGCAAGACCTCACATTGTTTCCTCTGAATTGGATGGATACTCAAGAAGAGACTAAGTAAAGATCCAGGGTCCCACAAATAGAGCTGGGTCATAAGCCAGCTGTCCTCTGAGAAGTCCTGTGGATTCATGGAGACCAGCTCCATGGTGTCTGATGACACCTGCCAGCTCTGCCTTGTGAACACACCCTACCCTTGGACCACTCTGCAGAGTAGGGGTCTGCGGCACAACCTTCACAGGTGAGTGGAGTTGTCCTTCCCTCCTTACAGCAAGGGCATTGAAGAATCTTCTACCACACGCTGTGTTCACAGCCACCATTCTCTGCACACACCAGAATGGGATGGGGCCCTCTTGGCCCTCGCCACTGCACACATACACTTAGGATTTACACATTTCTACAATATGGGGGGAGGGATCGCAAATCAGGGTCCTAAAGCTCAGCCTGAGGGATTTCTTTGGATGTAAGAGGATTTTTTCCTCCCCAAAGGTAGATTATGAATGGCAGTTAGAAAAGGAGAGAGATACAGACAGCAGACAGATGGATGGATATTCTGTACTCGTCAATAGTGTCTTAGTAACTATCAACAAACTGAGAGGAGATGAATACATATGAGTTGCCTGCTGCATCAGCATCCCCAGGGGTTGCTGGCTTGAATTCTGGCTGCCCTGCTTTCAATCCAGCTCCCTGCTAATGTGCCTGGGAAAGCAGCAGAGGAAGACAGCCCAAGTCCTTGGCCCTGTACACATGAGAAGCTCGGAAGAAGTTTTCTGAGTTCAGGCTGCAGACTAGCCTACCTCAGGCTGTTGCAGTAATGGAAGATCTCTCTACTCACCCTAATTCTGCCTTTCAAATATATAAATCTTTTTTTTTTTTTTGCGGGGGGAGCACACCTGGATGACCTTTGCTATGATGAGGACCACGAAGTCTACAACCAGGTCTAGCTTTGTCTCTGGAGGACCTCCAGCAGCAGACATGTAACAGAACTTTGGAAGTCTGCTGGTACCTTCAAGCCTAGACAGGAGCCCCTGCAGCCCACGAGGCACGAAGCCACAGGGGGCGTTTCACTTCTTCCTGTCGAGGAGAGAATGGCAGGTGTCCTTGATCTCTGCCCGCAGCCAATTAACAAAGGTGGTTGGAGGAATCCACTATGGGGGGAGGGCTGTGGAAGGGGTGGAGGGAATCCCAGTGCCTATAAAACTGTATCACATAACACAATAACAATTAAAACAAATAAATAAAACTTAAAAAAAAAAACAAAGGTGGTAAGATCCTACTCAGGCAGACTTCTGGGACAAAAGAGCTCCGTTTACAAAGTCCACTTATCCTGTTTGACTTAGGTCATCTCTTCCTGTGAGACCCACAAAGTCAGCTGGGCATCAGCCAGCGACGCAGGGTACTCCAGTGTAGACAGAATATTTCAGGGTATTTCAGACCAGAGATGGATGCTGACAGCTTGTCTCTATGGATGTAAGTCAAATCCCAGCAGACGCTCTGTGCTTGGGGCACAGAGACCAAAACACAGCAGAGGAGACTGAGCAAGGATCTGTTATGAGATGGAAGACCGAGCAGACCACAAAGAAACTCCAAAGGATCAACATGTTACTGTGCACACAAAAAACAGATAACCTTGCAATGATCCTGGAAGCTCTCCTTATGCACATGACACGAACGCACTCCAGAAAGCTCATGAAAATGGAATTAAAAGTTGTCTCTGTTGCAGAGAAAGAAAGAAAGAAAGAAAGAAAGAAAGAAAGAAAGAAAGAAAGAAAGAAAGAAAGAAAGAAAGAAAGAAAGAAAGAAAGAAAGAAAGAAAAGAAAGAAAGAAAGATAAAACGATATCCACGCATGATATTCTGTTATCCATGAACTTTAGGAAAGCCTCCCATGGTCTGTGTCATGCTGCTTCTAGACACCAGCGGGAGGCACACTCCCCCATTGATGTGTCACAGCACTAATCAGAGTTGCTCCACTGCTTCCAGACTTCAGTTGCGTTTGCATCACTGCTTGTGTTTATAGTGGATAACCTATCCCAAGCCTGTCATCTCTCGTTGTTTCCCTCCCGTCCTGTCTTTGGGTAGAGGCAAGGACTCCAAGGCTCATCGTACAAGAGACAGAAGCCCAAGGAGCCTCTCCACCAATCCTGGTTCTGGCTCTGTCCTCAGCTCCCTTAAGAGCACACTCAGTCAGTCCCCTTCTGATGACAGACCACAACCACTGGGTCCCTTCCGAGGGCAGGCTGTGGGAGAAAGGGCTGGGGATGCTGAGCGAGAAATGCTGAAGTCAGCCACTTGCCAGTCTACGAGTCAGCAGCTTCCAGAGCAGAGTAGGGGATTGGGAAATAGGTTTTGGTCCCACAAAAACCTCACAGGCAACAGCGACCCAAGAGCTCAAAGTTACCACGTATAATTCCCCAGCAGGAGCCCAAGGCTGCCTTTAGATGCCAAAGAGCTGGAGCCTAGAATCCTTTACCCATAACCGCAGCTGCGTTCTGCCAGGGCTGAGGACTTTGAGACAATCAAGTGCTGAGCCCCAGACCACTGAGCCAGGAGCTGTTCCACAAATGCACGTTATCATGCCCTGCCTAGAAATGGGCTCAGTTCTCAAGTGTCTCCTACATTATCAAACACAACAATGACCTCACCCCAGAAACTCTTTTCTCCACAAAGATTTGGATGGCTTCGCGTTTCAGCCGGTTGTTGCTCTTAAAGTCGAGGGGTGGAGGCAGCTTGAAGTACAGTGGAAAAGAGTCAGAACATCCCCACTGGAGACTCAGCACAGCAATCCAACATTACACATGAAAAAGCAAGCTACAAAACCACATACAGTTATAAACATCCACATGCGCATGCTAACTTAGGAAAAAACTCATCTCTTACAAGGTGTACCAAAAAATTATAGGCAACTCTGGAAATTTCTCTGTACTCTTCAGAACCTCCTAGAGCTATAAATGACCATTAGCTTGGGGGAAGACCATTCTTGGCTACACACAGCTTTGGGAGGGATGAGGGAATGAAACAGCGAAGTGAGAAGATTTTCTGGCCTGGTAGTACCAATTGATGTGGTCACTGCGAAGGAGATGGACAGCACAGCCTGGCACTCGTCCATCTTAAGACAAAGGTACATGACTGTTTCAGGGACTCCTGGCTAAAGCCTGGCCACTGTTGGCTGCTATGGCCATTTGGGGAGTGAAACAGTGGATGGAAATTGTGTGTGTGCGCGTGCGTGTCTCCCCCTCTGTAACTCCTTCAAACAAATTTTTAAAAGTCCTAAAAGAACAAAAGCATCAGTGATAAAGTGAAAACCCGGCTGGGGAGGAGAGAATTAGAAGAGGGAGTGTCCCATAAGCTTGCCTCAACAGCAGCAACTGTGCTGATCCCAGGCGGCCAGTGCCCAGCAGAACCTGACCCGAGCCTTGATCACCCACGACAAGGACTGAGCTGGATTCTGGGGGGTATGAAAGGAAAGGGCCCCTCTAAGTGGGAGAACAGAAGAACACGGTCAGCTTCCAGCTGTGGGCTAGGCCATCCCATGAACCCCTGGGAAGGGGTGACTGAGAATCAAGCTGCTTATTACCAAGAGGGACTTGTATATCATGCCTGGGACACTCATGACCACCTCCTCCTCTCGCCCCTCAAAGAGGTCCACGTGCTATCCCTGGGCACTGTGACCATGGTCCTCCAGGGAGTCAAAGGGACTTCATAAATGTCAGGTTCCACCATTGCAATGGGGAGACCGTCCTGGGATCCCCCTATGCGCCCAGCGTCGTCACAAGGGCCCATGGAAGAGGAAGGCAGTGTCTCCGAACAAGGGACAGGATAGGGGAAGCAGAGACTGGGATGAGAAGAAGGTGTGAGGACAGATGTGATGCCATGGACCCTGAGGGTGCAGGAAGGTGCTCCACAGCTCAGGTAGCCTCCTCAAACTGCAGCAGGCCAGGGCATGACTCTCTCCCCCAGAGCCTGTAGGAAGACAGCACTGCTGATGTCTTGACCCTAGCCAAGTGTAATGCACTTGTAATGACTAACTCCTTCAACTGTCACAGAACTCTTCTGAGTGGATTTAAGCCACAAAGTTTGTGGTGGTTGTGCAGCAGTGATGAGGAATCATCATACGTCTAACAAAGGGCTGGTTATAGCTGGTCTCTGTGAGCTTCCTGTCCCTGGAGGTGATGAGGAAGACACTGCTTAGGACACTGGGTGGTCAGGTTCGGTGTTTGTAGGGATGGAAGCTGATGGTTGGCCTGCGGGCTGACCCTTGCCAACTCCACATCACATGCCACGCCTTTTCCTGCATTCACCCTCCATATGCCAGTCTCCAGCCCATGCCTGCTGGTGGGTAAGGCTTGCCTATGCCCCGCTTCCAGAAGAGCTGTGGGGGACACCTTGTACCGCCGTGGGCAAAAGGCAGTATCGGGGCTGGCGTTGTGGTGTGCAGCACCGTAAGCTGCCACTCACAACACCAGCCTCCCATATGGATGCCAGCTCAGGTCCCAGCTGTTTCACTTTAGATCCGGTTCCTGCTAATGCACGTGGGAGAGCAGTAGAAGAGTGCTCTCCCTATACCCACGAGGGAGATCCAGATGAAGTCCTGGCTTCTGCTTGGCCCAGGCTTTTGGCTGTTGTGAGCCTCTGGGGTGCAGAGCCAGTGGATGGGAGCAGCTAGACAGTGCCTGGGCCAGTGTGGGCTCAAGACCAAGGCACTGGACAAGGGACACTTACCTGAGCAGAGGATGCCCTTGTTCCTGGCGCAGGAGAAGTTGTCACACTCGCAGAATGGCCCGTAGATCTTGCCAAACTCGCTCTCAAAGCAGGAGCACTGGTTGCAGCTGCACTCCCCGCGCCCACTGCACAGTGGCTTGCCCTCTGCCTCGCGGCACAGGTTCTGGTACACACTCTGCTTCTCCCCCTCCTGGCACTCGCACCGGGTGCCCAGATAGCCAGGGTCGCACTCGCATAGCCCGCAGACATAGGTGCCGTTTCCACTGCACCTGGCACTGTTGGGCTCCGGCCCCATGCTGCAGCCGCATGTGCAGTTGTAGGTGACCCTCACCTGCAGGCTGTCTCGGAAGCCCACTGGTCGCAGAGTAAATGCTTGTTCAATGTGTCTGCCAGGGCAGCTGCGGGCCTCCACCGACACCTCAAAGGACGCCTGGCAGAAGGAACAGAGGAGGTGACATTAGGCTGTGGCCAGCCAGGCCCTGGAGGGTATTTGCCTAGGCCTCCCATACCCCTGGCTTGGCTCAGCCTCCCTCCATGCACACAGGTAGAAACATCAAGCTGACCTGAGCCGGAAAAGAACTCGGAGTGGGCAAGTCCTGTGTGTATGCAGCACACAGCAGGTCAGGGGTACCTGGTGGCCACTGTGCTTGGTTCTCAACCCCTCTGTACTTCTTTCCCCATTGCAAGTCTAGGCTGCCATGGGAAGTGGCAGGGATCATTATTGGGTGGTCCACTCCCCTTCCTTTCTCTTTTCACTTCTACCCCCTCTGCCTCCTCACTGTCAAAGTCACTCGGTCCAGGCACCAGGCTAGTTGCAGGGTTGGGGACGCCCACCTGTCCACCTTGCTGGAGGAGTGGGAAGCTGACAGAGGACAGACACCTAGGGCTGTGCACGCACAGACCCCTGTGCTGAGAGATCCTCACAGCCTCTTCCTTCACACCAACCCCCAGCCCTGAGGCTGTCATTGGAGGACGATGCACATGTGGACACAGGCTGGCAGGTCCTAATGTCCCAGCTGCTCATGGATTGCTTGGAAATAGACCACTGAGAGGGCCCGGGGGTGGGGGCACACGGTAGACCAGAAACCACCCCGACAGCTGCCCATAGGACTAGCCTGACTTTGATTCTTCTAGAACTAGACCTGTCCCCTCTGCCCCTATGGCAGAAGCGTAGCTGCAGAAACAGAGTCTGGCAGGCCCTGGGGCGGCACCACGGAGAAGCACCTCTCCTCCTGGATGGAGCCCTGCCCACTTCACCAGCTGCCTCCCATACCCAAGCACACATGTCCACCTCTTTGGAAGGCTCCTCAGGTCACTCAGGAGCCCCCACAAGTAAGGAAGCAAATACCAATACCTTTAAAAACAAGTTTTCATTTTTTTTTCTCCCTTAAAGATTCAAAAGAGAGAGTGGGGGAAAGAGAAAAAGAGATCTTCTACCCTCTGGTTCATTCCTCAAACGGCTTCAATAGCCAAGGCTGGCCCAGGCCAAAGCCCAGAACTTCCTCGAGGGCACCTATATGGGCAGCCCAAGGACTCTGGGCCATCTGCTGCTGCTCTTCCAGGTACGTGAACAGGGAGCTTGGTCAGAAGTGGAGCATCTAGACTTGAACTGGTGTCTGTACGGGACACTGGCATTGCAAATGGAAGCTTAACCCTCTTCACCGCATCACCACTGGTCCCACTAGTGATATTTTTCATTCTATTACTGGTATTGGGGGGAAAAAAGTAACAGGTTTTACCAGGCATACTTGCAGTTAATGTTAATCTTTCAGAATGCTAAGAAAACATATTTGTTGTTAAGCATTTGTTGTTAAGCACTACTAGTAGTTCAGACCTTCACTACTTCTGCCTCCCTGCTGATTCTGTGACAACTTGGGGACACCCAGGAGGGCTAAGCAGGACAGACTCTCTTGGACAAGGTCCTGCTAGGCAGCAAACCAGAAACAGAGGAGCTGACAGTAGACACCCAGGGCCCAGCTCCAAGCCAACTCCAGATGACTGGGATGAGCCCCACTGCAGGTGTCACTTCTAGGGAGAGATGGACAGAAGCAAGTAGGAGGCCCAATTCCAAGGTCATGGGGGTGGGGTGGCGGCACTCAAGGAAACTGAACAAAGCAGGGGCTCACTGGAGCGCTGGTATCAGTTGATGATAGCATGAAGCAAGGGCAGCCACCTGGTGCCTTGCACACACATACCCTGAAGGAAACAGCCTCATTTTCCCAGACATAAAATAGAGCTGGTGGGGCTCTGGTACAGAGTGAGCAAAGTGGATGCCCTGTGTCCATGTGGGATATATATATAGAGAGAGAGAGAAAAAAAGAGAGAGCGAGAGAGAGAGAAAGAGAGAAAAAGAGAGAAAGAGAGAGCACGCTCTTGGCCTGCAGATGGGATGGGGCTGGGGGCTGAGCAGAAGCAAAGCCACCCACAAGCCAGCAAGAATGCACATGAGGGAAACGGCCCTTCACAGGAGCAAATGGCATCATCCCAGCTGAGACTGAGAGAGAATCAGGGTCTTGTTTGAGGCCACCATATCCTAGAGGAATACTTGGCTGGACTTCCTAAAGGAAAGGCCCCACCAAGGGGCCTCTGCAAGTCTAAAATGGATAATAAAAAAAGGGCCCTTGAGGCAAGGGCTTCTGACTGTGGGCAGTGTCCCTCTGTGAGGATGGCTGCTCCATGAAAGAGGGGACACTGCATCCCAAGCCTTGCCTGGAAGTTGTGGAGAGAACAGGGGGGCCAAGGGGGGGAGGGGGCCCGTGATTTAGTGCTGGCTGCCGTATGGCCTGGGACATGGAAACACTGGGTATTGTGTGCCTGGCTGGAAAGCCGACCCCAGCCAGGCCTCGGTGCAACAGAGCTGGCCCTGGGTTCCTGGCCTGAAGCCTGATAACCAGCGAGCAGTTCTATTTCCGCCGCTAGGCCTCAGTTCCCGCTGGCAACAGGAAGGCTATAAAAAGCACTCTGCAAACAGCAAGTCCTTCTGTCGGCTGACCCTGGCTTTCAGCGTCCCTTCTCCCTCCTGGACGAGGACAGGATTCAGCAAGGCAGGGGAGTGTCCCTAGCGACTGACGGCTCCCACGATATCCAAGGCCCTGGTCCTGGAGCCTGTCCATCCTCTCTCCCCGAGATCTCAGAGGAGACCCAGACACAGCAGCACACCCGTTGCCATCCACCAGACCTGCAATTTGAACCTCACTGGGGTATTCCTGATACTCTGGGGTGGGGTGGGGGATGGGCCTGGGCCACTCTCAAAGAAGGACTGCCCAGTCCCCACCCTGGGGCAACATGGATGCCAAGTCCACTTGGATCTCAGCTAAACAAAGAGCTGAGCTGGGCAAAAATGTACAGAGCCTGGAGGAGTGGGCTGAAGCTGGGGGGACCGTGGGAAGCCCGTGGCAGGGCCGCCAGTCCTTTGTGTGGGCTTTTAGTGCAAATCTACCCGATCAGCCACCTGCATACTGATTTAAAGCAGGAAACAAGAAAACCAAGCTGAGACCTCTCTGCCAATACTAGGGGTTGGGACCAGAGCAGGAAAGCTACAGAAGCAAGTCCCTGGTGGGGGGAGTGAGTCCCCAGGCAGCTTGTGGCTCCCAAGGCTAAACTGAAGGAGTATTTCTCTTCACCTCCTGCCAGCTGTGCTGCTCCTTGCTGGACACGGGGTGGTCAATAGCCACTGCCTCTGCTGGGAGTCCCCGCAGAGCTGCTGCCTACTCCTCGGCTCCTCCCTACCTTGTCCACAGCCCTTCCAACTTGGGGCAAAATGAAAATGAAATCCACCTGCCCCAATTATGGCCAGGCCCCTTAGCTTGGCACATACAATAATATTTTAAAGAGCCATGGAGGGGCCATTGCTGTAGTGCTGTGGGTGAAGCCACCTCCCTGCCATGCAAGCATTCCATATTGGAGGCCCAGTTTTGAGTCTCCGCTACTATGCTTCTGATCTAGCTTCCTGCTAATGTAATTGGGATAATATAGGAATTTGGCCCAAGCACCCAGCCCCCTGCCACTCATGTGGATGGAGTTTTGGGCTCTGGCTGTCACAGCCACTGGGAAATTAAATCACAGATAAAAGATCTGTTTCTCTCTTTATCCTATGCTGTCTTTTTTTTTTTTTAATTATTAATCCATATAAAATGGAATGAAAATTTTTAGTTGGCATAAGAAAGTTTTGGAGAACCAGGCACTGAAGTCTTCTGAAGATTCAAGTGTGGATTTTGGGCCCGGCGGCGTGGCCTAGCAGCTAAAGTCCACACCTTGAATGCGCCGGGATCCCATATGGGCGCCAGTTCTAATCCCGGCAGCTCCATTTCCCATCCAGCTCCCTGCTTGTGGCCTGGGAAAGCAGTCAAGGACGGCCCAAAGCCTTGGGACCCTGCACCCGTGTGGAATACCCGGAAAGAAGTTCCTGGATCCTGGCTTCGGATTGGCATGGCATCGGCCATTGAGCTCATTTGGGGAGTGAATCATCGGATGGAGGATCTTCCTCTCTGTCTCTCCTCCTCTCTGTATATCTGACTTTGTCATAAAAATAAATAAATCTTTAAAAAAAAAAAAAAAAGATTCAAAAATGTTTTTCACCAGGAGACATATATCTTTAATCCCATCTTCCAGGGAGTCCTTGAGTACCCTGGAAATGTCCTGCCTGTGTGGTCAACCACTCTTCCTGCAGTCCCCAAGTCACCTCCAGGCCATCACGAATGAGCACTTGTCGCCTGTGGAAGAGGGTGGTGCCATTCACACCTTAGCAGACTTCCTCTGCCACTCAGTACCGCCAGCAGGCCTGCCGCATCCTCCGCCTCCTCCACCCAGAAAACCCACTCTTGCCCCATGAACCTTGGCTCACACTGCATTCCCTCCAAGGCCGGGTCCCCTTTCCCCTGGGCTCCCACAGCGCACGCCCAGCTCTGTCACTGTACTGACTGTTCTTGACAAAGCCAACTAGGTTGCATGTGTTTCTTCCCCATCTTTGTATCCTGGGGATCATAGTACTTGGCTCATGAACAATTACTGAACACACCTGGAGTTCAGCACAGCCGCCGGGACAAAGGTCCAGGGGGCCACCCCCAAGACACTTAGGAGCACGGCTGGTCCCCAGCTATAAAAGCTGGGCAAAATGGCAGGCCCATCCCACAGAAGGATGGATAGGGGGAACTTATTGGTCCAACACTTCCAGCTGCATGTCACCCTCCTGTCTCAAGGATCAGAGGAAGCCACAGACATCTGTAGTTCATCATCAAAAGGGAGCTGGGGCCACCTAGATGTGTCAGGCTCCCGAGCAAGTGCCTATGGAGTGTGCCGGGCCCAGCTAGGAACGGCTCCAGGCTTGATCCACACTGTGCTGTTACAGCCTTGAAGCTCTTTCTCATTTCTGAACTCACCCGTCCCACTGAGACTCCAAACTAGGTGGCAAAGTCCACTTCCCTCTCTCTG